GATGGCTGCTTGTTTACCTTCAAGCCTTTAAGACCCCAGACTCTATATCTTTTGATAGCTGGACACCATCAGCTTTCTTCATCACATTTGCTTATGCACCCACTTTGTCTTCAGTGATCGTGTAAAAAAGGTGAGCATCACAGAATGTTGGGTTATTAGAATACAGTGTCCTTGCATTGATGGAGTACTTGAGTAGAGGCCCAATGTCTGTCTGTTACCTTAATATTTAACATATAAATATATGTACATAGATCTATTTTCCTATCATTACACATAAGTATATTTACATATATACCAAGGCAATAGGTTTAAGTAGAGTACAAATGATACCGGGAAAGGAAGAAATGTATTCACAGTAATCATTGCTACTAGGGCAGCATCTTAGCTGAGCACCTGGGTCCTGAAGCTTGGCCTCACTTAACCACCTTCATGTTGAGTGACCTTAACCTCTCTGATTGCTCATTGCCTTGATCTGTAAAATATGGAAAACAATGACGTTATCTCACAGGGTTAGAACCAAAAGGAAAACACCGTCAGCATATCTCAAACTGAGAGGATTCAAGAAAAATACAAGTTGCAAGTTGCAATATTGAAAGACTTTGTGGGCAAAATATTGAATGATGAAGTAATCACCAAAAGAAGCCAGGAAGAATACAGAATCATGTACTGAAAAAACAGCCAAAGTCAACCATTTCAAGACGTGGTATAGAAGCAAGAACTAATGGTACTGAAGGAAGAAGTTCAAGCTTCACTGAAAGAATTAGCCAAAAATAAGTCTCCATGAAATGATGGAAGATCAACTGAAATGTTTCCATAAGCTGATGAAGCACTGGAAGCCCTCACTAGTTTATGTCAGTAAATTTGGAAGACAGCTACTTGGCCAACGAACTGGAAGAGATCCATATTTGTACCCATTCCAAGAAAAGGTGACCCAAAAGAATGTTCAAATTACAGAACAATATCATTAATATCAGATGTAACTAAAATTTTGCTGAAGATCATCCAACAATGCTCATAGCAGTTCATAGGCAGGGAGCTGCCATGGGTGTAGGCCAGATTCAGAAGAGGACATACAACAAGGGATATAACTGTTGATGTCAGATGGATCTTGCATGAAAGGAGGGAATACCAGAAATATGCTTACTTCTGTTTTATTGACTAGGCCAAAGCATTTGACTGTGTGGATCATAACAAACTATGGGTACCCTTGAGAAGAATGGGAATTCCACACAACACTTCATGGTGCTCCTACAGAACTTGTACATAAACGATCAAGAGGCAATTGTGCAAAACGAACAAGCGAATAACACATGGTTTTAAATCAGGAAGCTTGGGTGTCAAGGCTGTAGCCTCTCACTGTATTGTTCAATATGCACACTGAGCAAATTATCACAGAAGCCGGCTTACACGAAGAAGAATGTGTCATCAGGATTGGAGGAGGGTTTATAAACAACCTAAGATACGCAGATGACACAACCTTGCTTGCTGATGAAGAGGATGTGACTTATTTGCCGATGAAGATGAAGGACTCTAGCCTTCAGTATGGATTGCAATTCAATGTAAATAAAGCCCAAATCCTGATGATAAATGGAGAAAAGATTGAAGGTGTCAAGAATTTCATCTTGCTTGGATCCACAATCAATGCTCGTGGAAGCCACAGTCAGGAGATCAAAAGACACATTGTATTGTAAAGTAAATCTGCTGCGCAAGACGTCTTTAAAGTGCTGGACAGTGGGATGTTATTCTGAGGACTAAGGCGTCCCTGACACAAGCCATGCTATTTCCCACGGTCTCATGTGCAGGTGAAAGTTGGACACGAAATAAGGAAGACTGACGAAGAAGGATTTCACTTGATTATGGTGTTGATGAAATATACTGAACTTCCAAACAATGAACAAATCTGTCTTGGAAGAAGTACAGCCAGAATGCTCCTTAGAGGCAAGGATGGCAAGGCTCTCATATCCTTTGGACATGGTGTCAGGAGAGTGAGTCCCTGGAGAAGGACAACATGCTTGGTTAAGTAGAGAGGGCACTGAAAATGAGGAAAGCCCTTGAGAGGGATTGACACTGTGGCTGCAACAATGGGCTTAAACAAAGAACAATTGTGAGGATGTTACAAGACTGAGCAGTGTTTCGGTCTGTAAATAGGATTGCTATGAGTCAGAACATAGTTCTTTTGTGCTCCAACTTCTCTGTATCAGGTTGCATGCAATGCTATCTTCTAAAATAATTTTCTTTTTAAATTTCAATAAATCATTCTATTGGGAGCTCTTACAGCTCTTACAATAACCTATATATCAATTGTATCAAGCACATTTGTAGATATGTTTCCATCAACATTTCCAAAACTTTTTCTTTCTACTTGAGCCCTTGGTATCAGCTCCTCATAAAATAATTTTCTCGACATGGAGACTCAAATCCGGGCTTCTGTCATAGAAGGCAATGGTTCCTCTGGCTGCTGGGTAACTTCTGACCATGGTTCCTAAGGGAAATCTAAAGAACTGCTCAGAGACTTACCCCTGGACCTCTTTCAGTCCTCTGGTTGGCCCATGCTGACACCGCTCATCAAACACATCATTTAATTGTGTTAGGTGAGTCCGTGCCTTCATGACTGATAGCACATCCTCTGGTGTCCCTCCACACTTTAGTTACTGCAAGCCATGGTGACAGCTAGCTCCCCTTAGAGCGCCCTTTGTCCTTGCCACTAGAGTGGTCAAGAGAAAGGGGCCAATGGCCTTCCTCCTATTGCTCACCACAGATACTGCTTCCCACACAGCCCTGAGAACGCTGAAGGCAACGCAAGTAGAGGGCAGGAGCACAGTTATGAGGATCACACAAGTTCTGGGTTAAGAAAAAGCACACCACAAATAACCAAGATTTGGGAATAAAGACAATGCGAATGAAGGGTGGACATAGACTCACTGGAGTTTGGGCTGAATGGAATCACCTTAGCTACCTCAGAAAGCGACTTACCATGCACGAGTCCACTGTGCCGGACTCATAGCCGGCACATAGCATCCGCGGGGTGATGGTCTTCATGTCAAAATAAGACTGGCACTCTTCCTGGGAAATTATGCGGACCTCTCCCTCTTGCAATTTAAAAGGCACTGAATTAAAAGAGAAGAATAAGACACATGTATGTGTGTGTATGTCTTTCTCTATATACACATACATATATGTGTATATATATAGTCATTAAAACCTCTCAAAAGTGAGGCTAGCCAAATGTTAACTTATATTTTTAAAGCAAGGAAATATTATTTTGAAAAGTTTTGCGATATAATTCACATACCATACAGTTCAAGTTCAATCATATCAAGAACACTTGTACAATCATCACCTCAGTCATCATTAGAGCATTTTCTTCTTTCTTGTACTCATCCTTGTTGACTTTTTGTTTCACCCCAACCTCCCCTCCCGTCCCCCTAGGAAATTATTAATCCAGTCATTGTCTCTATACATTTATCTACTTTAGGTTCTCTATAAGAAAAACATACAATAAAAGAAAACAAAAAGCAACCAACAACAATGACAAAATAAAACAGAAAAACCTCAATTGAAAAGAAAGCAGAAAGGCCTGGTAGGGCGAGACCAAGGGTAATGTAACTGAGAGGAATTGCTGAAACCCTAATGAAGGCTGAACATGATAGTGGTACAAGAGGAAAGTCAAAGGAAATAGAGGAAGGAGCTAGGAGGTAAATGGGCATTTATAGAAGTCTAAATAAAGGCATGTACATATGTAAATATATTTATATATGAGGATGTGGAAATAGATCTATGTATAGGTATAGGTTTAGTATGAAGGTAGCAGATGGACATTGTATGTCCATATGTATAGGTTTAGTATTAAGGTAGCAGATGGACATTGGGTCTCCACTCAAGTACTCCCTCAATG